AGGCCCAATCAGAAGTCCCCTCATCACGCCATGAATCAGACAATGGGACAGTGGAAGGATAGCAGTGAACAGACCACAACGGAAGTTGCAATGATGACGGATTAGTAGATGAGAGGACTGGCATAATACTTACAGTTTTACCTGAATATCCCAGGCTATTTTTGCAGTACTTTTTATAATTATACTATGGATAAATGACTTTCAGTAGCTCTTTTTTATGTAGTGCAACTCTGAAGAGGCTTATTCATTTTCTATTTTGAACAGGACATTGAACTCTACAGTAAATTGATGATGATAATGATGCATCCAATCTGGTGCCACCTGTAAATGGTGGATCATTACAGGTAATTTGTCACATCTCTAGCCTTAAATTTGTTCAGATTCAGCTCACATTAGTGCAAGATTTGTTTTATTATTAAGCTTTGGCATTCCTTGTTTACTTGCATGCTAAAGGCTTATAGACAATGGGCTATGTATGCATTAATTCAAGCTAATGCAAATTAATGTACGACTCTACCACAATACAATCTTGATTATTTAGAACAATAAATAATATCCCCTATTGTTTATTTGATTCTTTCAACCACTTAAACGCTCACAGGAAGATCTTGATTACTGAAGACTCAACAACGACAGCCTTCACACAATAAGAAATGCGGCATTACTGAGTTAGAACTGCCCCACTGGCATTGCGATACCAATTACCACAAGGGGAGCAATTAGCCTAGCGTTAAATAGTGATGAAGTCGACTGCACAGCAATGATCCCCAACATCAGAGCTGTCAGAGCATCATCCGTCAAACGCAAGCTTCGGGGCCCCAACAGTCAGGTAGTCGTACATTACCGCCGATAGAAACACGTGCCCTTCTACATTGTTATGACTTTGTTCTATCAATTATGTACTGGCTTGGGGTCCACCACACAAAGCCCCCCTCTCAATGCTTTGTCCCATCTGTTTTTCTTCTGCCTTAAGCTATACGGCAAAAGGTCTATTTCTCTCATGATGAGTTTCCACAGATTCTTGCGTAAACTTTATGATGCAGATTGAACATTGAAACCATGTGAGCCTGTTGTCTGTTTTTGTGTGCCTATTTCCCTGTTTTAGGCACAGGTGGTGTGTGTGTAACGGTCTTCCAGGCACTTGTGGTTTTTGCACAGAAACACTGCCATGCTGAGTGAGAGTGCAGACATCTGCTGCCAATTCACATGCTCTCTAGTGTTCAGATGTGCTTGTATGTTGGAGAGGTAAATACAAATGCTTCCTTCATCTCATCAAATGTTCATGAAAGAGACATGGAGTTAAAGAGTTGCTCAGCTGTGGAATGTATTATTTATATTTGCTAGGCTACATATGTGTATAGAGTGATAGCTTGGATGCTGGGAGATTTTTCAATTTCACTTGCGGTTTTCATATTCACTTTATATCAACATACATTTGTTGATTTAAAGCAAAATTGGTGTGACTTCTGTATCAATCCAAATAGAAGTGGCTCTTATAAGCTGTGAGTCTTTAGGGATTTTCAGTTGTTGATTTTGGAATGGGTCTGAGCCCAATCTGCCTGAGGTAGGCATGGTAGTCATTTGTTGCCTGGAGCATGTCATCTGGAGAGAGCAGCTCACATTAAACTCTCTATTTTAGACTCACTAGCCAGAGGTTTTCATTGTTGTTTTGTTCATCTACTATACCCAGGATTTTATATGCAGGGCCAGTGGCCAACCAACACAACACATTAAATCTATATCAAACATTTAATCTGGGCTCCAAAGTTTTCTCTCAGCTTGAATAAGTTTGATTGACTGGCAACTGAATAGCAGGCAGAGAAGTGCTTTGTGGACTGCAAAATCAATGAATTAAACACAACATACTGTTGTTTTCAGGTGAGAAAGATTTTAATTTGTTGAGCGCTACCCACTCAGCCGCTATGTGCCGCCAATGTGTAGTGTGACCTTCATTCCTCGTAGCAAGAAGGTCATGGGTGTGATCCCCCAGTCCAGATTTGAATGTTTCTTTCTGTGTTTGGGTGGGTTTCCTCCGGACACTCAAAACTTGCAGGAGTATAAATGCGGTGAGTGAGTGAGTCACATGGGAGTCGGAGGGGATCTGTGGAGTGAATTAACAAGACTTGAACAAGCCTGTCAAGTGCTGGTCAGGAACGTAAATTTATGTTTGCGTAGCCCTTGGAGGACTTTACAAAGCCGTCGATCTGTCAACACAGATCAGAGAATCAAACAGTTCAAACACGATAAATTCAATGATAAAAACACATAGAGCCATTGGTCCATAAGGGGCAGATGACCAATGTCCATAAATGTTGATAAGGGCCAAAAATGTCGTTGACTGTCAAGTGTCCTGGATCATCACCACCGTCCTTTGACTCTCCTGCATCGGCAAGGAAAAATGTCATAATCCAGAGGGAGAAAGTGAGAAACGTTGAGCCCCACATTGAGGGAGGGATATGCTTCCATCGGCTATGGATTCAGGACAAGACCGAGGCCAATGACCTTATCATTTTCCATGGTTTTCTGAAGTAAACACTGCTTACACAGATCTCCGTTACAAAAGGTGACCGGAAGACAATCTTGGATTTCAGTTTGGGTTAGGCAACAAATGTACATAGAGAAATCCTGACTTCATCACATCTGTATTAATAGTTGAACTTTCACTCTGGCCCGGTATCTCCTGTTACAAGCGATTGTGGCTGATCGCATTGATGTGACTCTGAAGGCACTGAGGCGGCACCTGCCACTAAGCTGCAGTCACACACAGTTAACCTCAAAGTCTGGAAGTGTTTGTGAAGCAACCAAGCCTTACGAATTCTCCCACTGTCTCCCTTTGTTAGAGTGAAGCGACATAACAGTCTCTCGCCTGAAGGTAAGCAAACAGAGCATTTTAAACTCAGATTTTTATGTTTTGCATTGTCTAAAGCACTTGTCTGGAAATGATGTCAAACATGGATTGTATCGGACTCAGAGGCTAATGAGGCTGTAACTGTCAATGAAATAGTGTTGTAGACGTCAGTGAGAAAGTGAGCATAATAATTGTTGAAGGAAAGAGATTTGCTCAATATGGGAGATGCAGTTATCCAATTAGCGGAATAGAAAGTCAATCAAAATAATAAGTATTTGGTTGTTGCTGTTTAATCAAAAATAAACTTCACTTGTATCTTGTTTCCATACATGGGTAATATTCTGATGTGGCCCAGGGTCAAATAATGTGAAGTAAAAGCATTCATTTTAAACGTGATCAATGTGTTGTTTTTAAAATACATTAAAACTGATAAATTGAAGGTAAGATGTTACACTAATTAAAAAAAAAAAAAAACACATATTACAGGCACTTGTTGCTTGGGTCCATATACATGTTCTTTTGCCTGGAATTTTCTACATCATGGCACCAAACTTACCATTTACATTGGGAACATCATGTGAATTTACTTGGTTGAGTTAGTGGAGAGGTAAATCTTCTCTCAGTTCGGTTTTTTGAGCACTAAAATCCTCCTTAGTTGAAAAATGTACAAATGTTTTAACCCTACTGAGTTTCATTCCAACAAAGTAATAACACGTATCACATTATAACAGTGTTTTTCCTTCACTCAATTCCTTGTTCTTTGCTGACATAAAATATATTCTAGTACATAATAAAGCATGTAAATTGTGTTTCTATTGATGTTAAAAGTGATGTATTAATTCTCATATCCTTCAGTTACTGCCAAGTTATTGATATTTTTCCTGTGGATCTATTAACATTATTTGCGACACCTCTCGGGACTTTGCCTGTTTAGTAGCTGAGCCGCCCTGAATGTGAAGTAGTTGCCAGCCAAGAGGCAGACTCCAGTTTAATATGTTTTTCTTTTGCTGTGATCATAACAGGAAGTTATGGCCTCTTGAAAACAATCAACAGCTGACCTAACAAGTGTTGTTTTGTTGCAGGCACCTGGTGTACAATGACTCTCCAGCCATTAACTCCAGTCAACTGTGTAGGCTTACTGCAACCGGGCTGCTCCCTTCTGCAGCTGGATGGCGAGCTACTTTTGTTCGGGCAAAAAGGCTGGCCCAAGCGTTCATGCCCTACTGGAATATTTAGAGTACGGTTTAAAAAAGACCAGATGAAGCTAACATCCGTCACCTTCTCGAATGACTCCTGCTATCTCCCCCCATTACGCTACCCTGCCATATGCCGCCTTGACCCCTACGATGGCTTACCTGAAAGCTACCTCATTCATGGTGGCCGGACCCCAAACAACGAAATTTCTTCAAGTTTGTACGTCCTCACTGTCGATAGCCGTGGGTGCAACCGAAAACTAACAGTGAAATGCAATGAAAGAGAACTGGTGGGTGAAGTTCCCAGCGAAAGATATGGGCATAGTCTTAATGTGGTTCAAAGCAGAGGCAAAACAGCGTATGTTTTATTCGGAGGAAGGTCGTATAAACCTGGACTTGAACGCACAACGGAAAATTGGAACAGTGTAGTAGATTGTCCGCCTCAAATCTTCCTGTTTGAAGTAGAATTCGGTTGCGTTACTGCTCATTCCTTGCCAGAACTCCAACACGGCCAATCTTTCCACGTGACAGTTGCTAGAGAAGATTGCGTCTACTTTATCGGTGGTCACTCAATAACCTCTGATTCGAGACCACCAAGACTCTATAAATTACATGTTGAACTGTTGCAAGGAAGCCCACTGATTACTTGCCAATCATTTGACTCTGGCATATCCATATCGAGTGCGATCGTCACCCGTAAAGGCCCAATGCATAAGTACATTATTGTGGGAGGCTACCAATTTGATTCACAGAAGAGAATGGAGTGCACTGAAGTGACGCTGGATGAAATAGGAATCAATTTTCAATCTTTGGAAGTACCCAAGTGGACCCCAGATATTAGCCACAGTCGCACTTGGTTTGGTGGTAGTGCCGGGGAGGGTAAAGTTTTGATAGCTGTCCCGATAGAAGGAAGGGCGGCCCAAAGTGAATCACACTGCTTATATAATGTGAGTTTTGAAATGGGAGCAGAGAACGGGGAGGACGAGACGCAAGCTTGCAGTCAGGAGTCTATTGATTTAGATGATTCTCCTCCACTGGAAGATTCAGAGGAGCTGTACTTTGGCCGTGAACCACACGAACTGGAAAACAGCAGTGACGACGATGGTGGAAAGTATAATGAAGATGACGAAGAAGATGAATCAGAGACAGGATACTGGGTCAAATGTTGTTGTAGTTGTCAAATTGATCCCAACACGTGGGAGCCTTTCTACTCCACAGAACTACTCCGTCCGGCCATGATCTTCTGCTCGCGAGGAGAGGACGGGCACTGGGTCCACGCACAGTGCATGGAGCTGTCAGAGAGCCTGCTTTTGAACTTTTCCCAAGGCAGTAAGAAGTACTTTTGTGAGGACCATGGAGGGCTGCCCTACCAAGAAGTGACCCCTCCAAAACCTCAGCACAAACATTCCATAAAAAGAACGCCCATGAAAGTGAAGAGACTCAAGAGACTGCCACTTATGATTAATATGAAGCCAGCCAAAAAGAGCTTCTGTAGAAGGCTCTTCCATGATTAGATGGATTTTTATCAAACATTTACAAAGCAGTGCATAGTACTGAATGTAGTTCAGTGTGTAATCTGCACATGAAATTTGTGATTGCAGCAGAATAACATGTATTTCTGAATTCTGTATACAGATTGGTCTCTTTGAGAAAATGTATAATATGTTTCTATATGTTTGATTTGTCAATAAAAGTTTGTTAAAGCGTCTGTATGTAATATTTTCATTGCCATCTTTTATATGTGTCCCTAGATGAGTTATAATTAAATTGATAAGTTAACAAATTAAATTAAATTAAATTAAAACACAATGGATACAATATTTATGTGTTTGGTTTCCAAGCAGGTTACCCAATCAAAAAAATGTGTTGTCAAGTTTTAGGTGAAATTTAGCTAGTTTGGGCTTTTTTTATTTTATTCACAAACAAATAAAGAGCACCACACATGTGTGCATGTTTGTATTGTTTCCATCTAAACCCCAGCAGGTGGTTTGCATCTGTAATCAGTGTTTAGGAGATTGTGTCACAGGATATAACATTCTAGCAACAAAAGTTGGTTGGTAATTGCAATGCCTATATTTAACCAACAAGAGTGTATATTACATGATGTCCCTTTAAGGACAATGAGAATCTGCTGTGAATATGTTTCATTGAAAATGTTGTGTTTTTCTTTTTTCAACACACTGCTTGTCTAATATGAATTACTTTGAAGTTTGTACCAGAAATCCACATTATAACTTTTAACTCAAACTCAATGAAGACAAAAACCATCAACATGTTTATACTTTATTTGTGTCCATTATTGTATCACACTTATGCAGGACGGATGAGAAATAAAATCCAATAGCTATTTCCTTTCCTTCCTCTTTTTCATAATGCTTTTAATTTAGCATGATAACAATAGAACATGTACTTTGTGAGAGGAAATAAATGGACAACTCTGAGCAACAATGTGAAAGTGTTTTTTTCCTTGACAAAACTATTAACTATGAACACAAAACGAGGCAGTAGACGTCAGAAAGTGAACGAGTGAGTCATCCATCAACATTCAACAACTAAATACAAAAGTTGCTGCAACACCAAACATGCCGTTATTATGGGAAGGGCCTCCGCCAGAATATATCTCACTGCTGTCATATGTGCTAAATTATGACAGTACAATAAAATAAAACATTCCATCAAATGCTGAATGCAAAATTGCCTGTCAAAATTGGAACTAGCAAGGGCAGAGAAAAAGACAATACAATCAATCAATCAATTCAGTTTAAATCATGTCTTTGGCTTTCTCCCCATCCCTCTCCGTCAGTCTATGTTCAGCCTTAGAAAGAAGTCAAACAAACCAGGTTATTGGAAACTTAAGTGTGGCAAAGAAACCACTCACTTTACTTTCCCATAACAATCTTTAGATGCGTTATTATCAAAAGATATACAAAGAGTTCTACCATTTACAGTACGGAATTCTAAAAGATATGGTTCCAAAAATTTCTTCAGAGTTCCCCAACCCCTCAGAGATTCTTTGAGAAAGCTTTAAAGTAATTTTCTTTGGAGGGCACTCGCAAAAAATGGAGCATCGCAGTCTCTGTAAACGCATTTCGGCTTCAGCCAAAATGTAATAATAATATAGTGGTCACAAATTTGCTCTGTTAAATGCATTTTCCCCTGTATGACTTACAGCACTTTGATAAATTACCTCCCTCCATATAAATGTGTCAAATTGTTACAATAAAATAAACTAGTGTTTCTTGTGTCGTATATAACAAAGAACTGTTTTCTGCAGACCGGGAAAAAGGATGTGTTTTTCTTAAGTCACTTTACTAAACCATTTTGACTTGATTTAAACAATATGTCAAATCCATAGTTTCAGTTAGAAATGTGTAACAGTTGAGTACCATATTAGACAAGAAAATGAAATGTTTATTGCAGTATAGTTATTATGGCATTCACCCTGACCTTTGTTGAAAAGAAAAATGGTTCATGAGTCTGCGACATCCAGAGAATTCTCTTCTTCATCTATTCTGTCTTCTGGGTCAATGACAGCCTGCAAAACTTTGGTCGAGTCCTTGTGTGCTTCCATAAACTTTTGCAAATATTTGGATGTGTACAACCAATGGTGCTTCAACACATCCTCTAGCTCAAAAAATTTTGACTGGCGTGCGTTCATTTTCCTAAACCTCCGGAACAGTTTGTTAGCCGACTCATTCCCCTCACTGGCCCAGGCCCCGATGGACCCATCTCTCTCGATAATTTCTGGGACATGGGCCAGGGTCTTGTGCAGGTAATTGGTTATTTTCCCGTTGTACCTGTATTTGAAGGCGGAGGAAAGGAGGTCGGCGAATCTCTGGGAGTTGAAGCTGTATCTGCACAGCTGGTCAGGGCACTCCTTTGCGGGGCAGGTGGCTCTCCAGACGGGCTTCATCTGGATATACAGCTTCATGAGCTCCCTCAGGACCTGCCTTCGCTCCTCTGTGGGTACCAACTCGCACACGGCCTCCACAGCCTCCTGGGTCATCAGCCTGCGGGCATAGTTCCCGTTCATCCTCATTATAGGTTTGAGCCTGAGCTTTTTTCTCAACTGTTTATCCAGAGCTGTTCTCCAGCTGCGACGCTCCTCCCGACTGGGATTTACTTTGGTGTGCACTTCCCCAATTTCATCCTGGAAGATTTTGTAGAACTCAGTGGCATTGCCAATGTCACAGTGCAAAGCATCCAGTGTGGGTTGAGTCTCCATGAAGGGTTTTGCAGAAACGCCTTTGACCCGACCTCGAAGCTCATCGACAGACTCAGAGTAGGGGTTTTTCCTCCAGATTTCATAGCGCTCCAAGTTTTCCTCGTGGCTGCGTGTGATGGAGTGCAGAACCATATTTTGAGAGGCATCTGAGCGGGTGGTGTCACAAAGTGTACAGACATAGGTTGACCCCGATGCCTCGAGCCCCTCCATCTCACGGACCATCTTTTCATCATAGCCTGTCCCTCTGAAGTGAAAGCGGAACGAGCGAAGGAGCCCGCCGATAGATACAATGAGTCTGCTTTCCTTCATTGCATTGCGTTCAGCCTTTATAGGTCCCAAGACAGCAGTGAGGGTTTCATGGTCAGATTCATCCACAAACGTGAGGCAGAGGGGCTTACAGGACAGCTCTGAGTTGGGTTTGGATTCAGTGAAAATGGTGACCTCGCTCTCGGTGTCATCTCTCACCAAAGTTACTGTCATAATAGTGAAAGAGAAACGAACAGCTTTTTCTGGAACTGCCGGCCCTCCACCGTGCTTTTCGCTGACATCACCCATGCCATCGCACGACTCCTTGATCATTACATTGAAGCCCGAGGTGCACACGCTGTCATCCAGTTCACTGTCTCTCAACCCCGCCATGATGTCCTCCTCGAGATCTTTGAGTGCAGACACCAGAGCCACATCATAACGAAAGCGCCGACTGATTGTGTCAGCAGGGGAATCATCCAAAGAAGATGTCCATCCCGAGAGCCCATTAATAATGCCCACGTTGCAACACGGAGACACGTTTTTGAGAGCCGGCTGCCATTCAAATTCATGGAAGCCGGGCAGAAGCTCTTTCTCTGCCGCTCTCAGAGAGTGCAGGGGCTGAAAAAACTGCCGTCCACTGGTGGCTTTGACGGTGCGATACATTTTGTGGTACTGGCTGCAGCTTAGGAAAGTGTTTACCCGAATGGCCAGGCAAACAGCTGGATGCAAACTGAAGCCTCTGCCTGAGGAGAGAGAAACGACAGAAAATCAGACAGCTTCAGAGGAGAAAGAAAAGTAAAAATCTCAAAGAAAGTACAAGAAAGAGACTCGGAGAGAATAATTTATCACAGAGCATTCAGCTTTGAAAAACACCAAAGCCTCCTCCATTTCCTTTTTTTTGATATCCCACATTTGGAGTCATTTATACTTTGAGATTTTCAGATTTGAGCACCAAAATGTGAATATTGTCATAAATTCTGTCATTACCAAATTCAATTGTTCCTAATTTCACAATGTTACAAAGGGACAGAGGTGAAAGTGTGATACGGGTAAAAGTGATGTATTGGCTAGAGATGAAAACAGACAGCAGCTGGCTTCTATTCCCCAGAGAGGGCCATGCCGCTGTCTGTGTAATTTGCAGATACAAGCACGGCTGATGTTGTTTTGATTCTAACAGGCCCTTCACTAGAGTTGTTATTGTGCATTAAAAGGAGTGTGAGAAAGAGAGAGTGACAGACAGGCAGCAAGACAGCCACACTGGGTAGAAAGATGAGGGAGGGAGGAGAGTGGAGGCGGAAGAAGGTGGGGGAAGCCAGTGGCACTTCAAAAGACAGACACGGACAACAATGAAACGCTTTTCAAACAAAATCTTGGAAAACTTTCTCATCCCCTCAATGAACTTTCTCACATCTCTGCTTTGTGTGAGTCAACCATAGTCTACGTAAAAATATGATTTCATTTCAATATGCTGTGAATGTGTGTGATTTTGTGGAAACGTTTTTTTAATAAAATATTGGTAATAACTCTTTACCTTGCATCAAGGCTTCCAGCTCGTCGGCATGCCTGTGCTCGTTGTCAGAACGCAGAGCAAGCAGAAAAAGAGTCAGACACACAGCCTTTACATCACCTCCTTCCTCTGTATCCGCAAATACTTTTACTTGGTGCTTCAGCTTCTTCAGCCGATGTTTCTGTGCACGTCGAGTTAGTGATAGCAGGTGTTGACGAGGTCTTCCCCCCTTATTGATTAGCAGGTAGTCCACTTTTGTCGGCTTTTCCCTCTGATCTCCCAGATCATGACCCAGACAATGTGTTTTAAATGAGTCCAGCCTTACATGCTCGCCACAGCCTCGGGGGCAGAGCAGAGGCAGGGAATGCAGAGCTGATAAAAAGTTGTTGGCAGGCGGAGAGAGGTCATCTGAGGTGTAGGATGAGTTGCAGGCTGGGCAGTGAGATCCAAGTGCGTGAGTGTATTTTGTGATACAGTTGCGGCAGAAGAGATGCCCACAGGGAGACTGGAGTGGGTCAGAGAGCAGGTGGTCACATACTGTGCAGGTGAAGGCATAAATGAAGTCAACTGGAAGGCCCGCAGAGACCAGCTGGGCACTCAGGTGGTCCCCCTGACAGTGGGTGATATTCTGCACCCAATGCTCCCTGGATTTTTTACAGTCCTTGAGCACTGAGCTGTGGTTATGTTCGCCAAATGGTTTCAAAAGGCGCCTCTCACCAATTACAATGCTGTCACTGTACTCCCACCTGGTCCGTTTGGGCAAGCTGTGTGCCCGAGGGAGCACTGGTCTCCTTTTTCTTCCAGACCGTTGGAATGAAGGCTTCCTGGGGGAACAGAGGTTGCAGTGGGAGGAGTGAGGCTTCCAGTCCGGGACTCTGATCTGGGAGAAGCTGCAAAATCCGCCTCCTCGCATCATTATCATCCAGCAGCGATGGCAGAATGACAGAGGATGTACTGATTCGATGTCCTCATTTACGTCCACTTTAAAGACTTTTTGGATGACCTCTGGCCAGGTGGTGAACTGGCAACTCATTTTACGCAGCGTAGTTCTGCTCACATGATCAAGATCACCATGGACTTCATGTTCTGGTCCTTGGACTTTCCTCAGAACTGTTCCACACAGACGGCACAGGGCTCTGCAATAAAATTAAAGAAAATAAGATTTAAATCTGCTATAACATGTATAAAATGCATACAGTATCTATTAAGCCCATGTTTGAAAATGTATATTTTAAGCAAAAGAAAGGCCAGAGGAATCCATTTTAATATGTATTTCAACAAATTTAAGTTAGCATGAAGTTCATTGGCATTAAGTTACTAAACATATTATGCGCCCATATTTTACTTTAACGTTTTGATGTGTGATTTTATTTTTTTTAGGCAGACAGAATGCACCTCTCAACTTTAGTACAAAACTTGTTGTTTCTGTATAATAAATTCAAACAAATTCTATTTATTTTTGCATATTCCTAAATCACGACAGTTGTCTCGGAGGACTTAACAAATTTAGTGTTTCCTCAAAAGCGAGGAACGAGTGTCATGGATTTCACACAAAAGAAATTGGGATTTTTGTGATTTCAAAGTATCTAGTTATCTAGTTAAGGAATCACCAGTCCAAGTTGTTTGATCAAAGGTTAACGCTCGGGTTAACTATGGTTAGGGTTCGGACTCAATTTACTTTTAGTGTTAAATGTCAGGGTTATGAGTCCAGGACCAACTTGTAAAATAGATCCTGGCTTTCTATTTACTTGATGATATCCATTTGTTTTCAACCTTTACTTTTAGTTGTTGTTTGTTTACCTAAGATGGTTCATGTGGGCGTCCATCTCCTGCAGTTTCCGATCCACTCTCTGGCCAGGCCCCTCCACGTTCTCTTTACTCTTCCCTCCCAGGCACAACTTCATGACGCTTTCTCGGCTCAAACCATTGTCTATATTTGTAGCCACAGACGGAGAGCTCCCTGCTGACTGCTCTTTATCCGGATGTGTCTCCACAGGCAGGGGGGCTTTCTCCATGGATCTCACCCTAAACAGTTTGAGCTTCCACTGAGAATACTCGGACTGGGGATGGCACAGCTCATCTGGTACACAGGATCTGGAGCCACCTGTCTCCTGCTCCCACTCTGCCATCTTGGAGGCCATGTAATTTGCCCTGTAATAAGAGAAAGTGAAGATTCAGAGCAAAAAATACATAATGCCATTCCAGGTCCCTTATGGCTATTTGAGATTTCAACAATGCTCTCCCCAGTGCATCCATACAGCTAAACTCGTGATACTAAATTCATTTTTGTAGCGTTACGCAGGCGGGACTCTAACTTAGCATTATTTTGAATGCTAAGTTAGAGATTTTATACTTAATTCTTGCTTCTTCATTATGCTCAAGTTGGAGATTTAAACTTTCTTGCTTATTACGCTAAAGCTAGAGATGTTTTACTTGCTTATTTCTTATGCTAAAGTTTGAGATGTTGTTTTATTTCCATTTAGTATAGAGTTATTGTTCATTTATCTTGTGTTGTGTGCTCCTCATTGAACAGTAGGAGGAGTAGAAGTTTCTGGTTCAAAAACCCATAGCCAAAGCTGGGATCAAATTGCCAAATGTCTCTCTAAAACGTTATATTCTTGAAAGTGTGTGAAGTTATAGTTCCCACTGTACTGTAGCTAGACTAACTAACTACAAACTCCACACCATTTCTAGAATATAATGTTTTAAAAAGACATTTGGCACTCTGATCCCAGCTTTGGTTATGTGTTCTTGGACCAGAAACTTCCTCCTATTGTTCATGCATTGTAAAGTACTTTGATGCTAAAATACAAATCTTAATCCATTATTGTTTATTCGTCAAAGCCAAAAAATAGATACGCAAAAAAAACTATTTTTCTTTCATCACACTGGAAGCCTTTGTGACTTTTCTGCAGCTCTGAGTTGGCTTTATGAGAATCCTACTCCTGTAAAGCTGTCAATCATTTAAACTAGTCATTTTCTTGGCTCCGGTGAGACCCGCGGGGCTTAAAGAATGAAGACAAGCACGTATTTCATAACGCCTCTATAGACCCAAAGAAAACGTCATATTGAGTCAGAGTCACAACAAATTATTTTAAACGCCACAGATTTGTATTTAGGAGTCATTTTTCAACTGGCAAGTATACCAGATATGGACGCACAGAGATCTACGATAGCGCCGTGGCAGAACTTATTTCTTCTCCTCCATCTACCTTCCATTATCTGCTCAGACAATAAAGCAGCGGTACAATCCAAAAGAGTGTTACATCTATTGTCAAGGCTTCTTCTTTCAAACCCCACAGAGGAAAATATGTTGTGTGAGAAAATCTTGCATTACCTACATTCAGTAAGTAAACCTTTGAGTGAATAGCAGGCCAGGTTAGAGTTTAGATCTATGGAGTGGTGTGAGGAGGGGGGCATGCAGATCAAATTATATTGTAACATCGTAAAGCACTTTGGGTGACTTTGGACTGTAAAATAAACATTACTTACTTACAAATTATCAGTATGTTCTTGAACTAATTTTACTATTAAAGCTGGGCCTATATTTCAAACTCCAATATGCGATACTATGTAATATACTATGTAATTCATAGTAGCAGTTGGGGTTTGAAATATGCTTTTAAGAGTTTTATTTGTGCCTTACTGTGTCTTGTCTCGCTATTTTTAGTCATTTTGTCTGTGTGTGTGTGCTTTGTAGTGTTGGTACCCCTGGTGTCTCCTAATGTAGTTTTTTTTCTGCAAATGTCCATAAATTGATTCTGATTCTACAATTTATCTAACCTGCTTCTTGCTCTTGGTTCTAGTTGCTAAAGTTTTCACAGATTCTTGGCCTTCATCACATCTTTAGATCCTATTTTTCGGACTGTAAATATTAAGTATTTTGTCTTTGGTTTTTAATTTTAACAAGATTCTTTCTGTTGGAACAAAAATGTGAGGTACCCCAGCTTCAAGTCAAGCCTTGCACGCTATTGCTGACACCGCATAGTAGATAGCTTTCGTTAAAGACAACCCGTATATTTTATTAAAGCTTACCATTTTATATTTGTCAACCACCCAACAGAGATGCTTCCGTATATCCATCTTTCTTACGCACAAAATGTCAAAAATCACAGTACGCTACTTTGCCTGACAGCATCTTTCTGCCTGAAGTTCCCTCAGAAACTAACAGCTGAGCCTGCATGCGTGTCGTCTGGCTTCTTACCTTGTTTTTCTGTCTCAGCTGGCGTCACCTCCCTGGGGGACCTCTCTCTGCGTGGGGGCACAAGGGAAGCCCAAGAGCCACGGAGAACTGACACGTGCACACTCCGTCTAAGGGTGATGTGGTGGAGACGTTGTTCCATAACTATAGGATGGCATGTATTTATACCCTTCCACCAACGGGATCAACAGTCAACCCCAGCCACCTGGAAGCAGCTGATTCGCTGGGAGGAGAAAAAAACAAGGTCAAACTGCCAGAGTTCTAGGCACTTGTGTGCTGCATCCATTACACTAAAAAAAAAAAGCAAACAACAGAACTCCTCAGCTGGATTCCCTTTCATCTCTGTGCTCTCTCATTCGCTCTTCAGGTCGGCCTCATGCAGGTGGCTCACTCAGGCTGAAGTGCCGTTAAAGTTGCTGACAAGGCTGCTACACGAGCTGAAAATACTGTTCATCAGATGTGGCAGGAATTTGCATATTTTTATTCTGCATTTGTACTTTTGCCTAGAGTTGTATTGTACTTAACTACGTATTTTCTGAAGACTTTTCACGTTTGCTCCTTACATTTAAAACCAAAAGTCCGTACTTAAAAAACTTAAAAATAATAATAATCAATAATATATAAAATTGCAGCACTGGTCTTTGGATCTAATGGTTGTGGGTTCGAATCCACCACGACCCATGTCATCTGCTCCCACTGATGTCTGCTGCCGTTGTGTCCCTGGGCAACACACTAAACCCCACATTGCCTGAAGCCCCCGCTGAAAGACCAAGGCCAATGTCTTCAATGACGGAGAAGCCATCTTCCCGTGCCCGCCACCTGCAGGAGGATCATCGAGGGGCTGACCCAGAAATGATTAACAAAAGGTTTAAAGTAAATAGCTCCACTTCTAAGATAATACTGGATTGTGATTAGCCAAGCTCATAACCACAAAAACATTCTGAGTCTTTTTGTTTATTGTCATATTCTCTGCCAGTATGAAACTTTTCAACAATGGTGTGTCTTCCAAAGGTCACACTAAAGCTCTAATATTTTCTGTCTATTATTGAGAAAATCTATATTTTTCTTTACACATTACCATGTCTTTGAATTAATATTTCCAAGATAAAGTGCCTCTTTTCAGTAAAAGACCTATCTTACTTACTTATGATTATACCATAATTCTCAAACCACTAAGAAAAAAAATGACTACTAATAAAATACAAATTTACTAGAATTCTAAACAGACCTTTCTGGGTGGCACGGTGGCTGAGTGGATAGCACTCTCGCCTCTCAGCAAGAAGGTCCTGGGTTCGAATTCCGGCCGGACCGGGGCCTTTCTGAGTGGAGTTTGCATGTTCCTCCCGTGTCTGCGTAGGTTTCCTCCGGGTACTCCGGTTTCCCCTACCACTAAAAATATGTACAATAGGTCTGGCATGCGCCTCCTGTTCGGCGACCCTGCTCCCATCTCTGTGTGGAGTGAGAGGACCAAGTGCCCAAAATAAACAATTGTAAACCGTGACTCTGGTCTGTGAAAGGCGGTATATAAATAAAGCTTACTTACTTACTTACTTACTAATGTTGTGACCGGTGTAGACCAGTTTACAAAGAGCCTGCTAAAATAATAGACTACACGTGACATTGGAAACACTCTCTCCCTGCTTCTGAGCGAGTTTTAATTAGACAGTGGCATTTTGCTGCGATTGCTCAGTAGGTACCCCACATATTTGCCCAAGCTCTTTCTTGTTTGTAATTATCCAGGGGAATAATCTTCACTTTTCACCACAGGAAACTGCTCGCTGTTGCGCTGGATTTGCCACCCAAGTCATTAGACTCACAGGCAGCAGGCACCAAACAGTTGGTCCCCGCGCCCTCATCTCAGCCCACAAGAAAGCTGCAGAACATAATATTTGTTTTATATCTGCACATTGATGTTTATGGCCACTGTAGGAACACCCATAATATGTCATAGACTGGAACAATTAACATCAGCACATCCAGAGCAGTCAATTTGACTGCTTTGTTTTTTCTGTTTCTATGTAGTTTATTTCTCATTTTCCACCAGATAATACCAAGTGCTATTTACCATTGCAACACACAGTTTACTGACAGAGGTTAGCATTAGCCTTTTTTGCTGTATTTCATTTATAATGACCAGTTTTTGTGATTATTAAGAGTGAGCAAATGTAAAAACCTCATGAATTACTTTAATTCAATACATTTGGTGGAAAAAAAAAACATTCTTTGAGGAAATTTCTCAGAATTCTATTGGTCTGAATGGGAGCAGTCAGAATGACAGCTCTGGGAGTTCTAGTAGTTTAAAAATTCTGAGCGTCCTGGTGTTAAGATTTGATTCTGAGTGTCTTTTGATCCTCATGCATCGGCACGGAAAAACTCCAAAAATACATAACTTGTGACCTTCTTGGACTGACCCCGCTCCAGGGTGGAGTCTCAATCATGATTCATACCAGCCAAGTCTTTACTATCCGTTGAACTATTTTTAATATTTCACATTTAATATTAATTAATTAAATATATTGAAGGTGTTGAAAAAAATGACGTAATTGCGAGTACTGGCAAATTAATCTTACAGAGGTATAGAAGGCAAGAACTGCACTAAACTTGCCCATACTTGCCCATACTTCCCCATACTTCCCCAAACTTCCCCATACTTCCCCATTCTTCCCATACAGTGGCGGCCCAAGCCTAATGATGCACGCCGCTCACTCGGGAGCTAACTGAAGCAGCGACGCCACAGATGTCTGCATGACAAACAAGCGCTGACCCCCAGAGACCGGCATCTCCTGCGCCTGCTAATTGACTTGTTATTGATCAACTCAAAGACAGTGTGATTTATGGGAGAGGGGACCAGCGCAGACAGCCACCTGGCATGGAGCGGGGCGTTATGAATGTGAGTAGGGGGTCTCGGGGGGGGGGGCTGCAGTTTAG